CCCCAACACTCGTACTATACTGCACACTGTGAACTGTCGCACGAACCAATCCTTCAACATTAGAACTTAGTGGACGGAGCTATTTCTTAGTCCTCGCTGCCCTCGTTCGATGTTGCAAGATAAACATAAAAAAAAATCACACGACAGGAAGCGCACTACTACAAGAAAACAAACAACCATTACTGCTACAGCTGTACCCTCCGCCCTCACTACGTGACGAAAAATCTCCCGTGTCTCCCTGGCGCATCCATCAACTTGAGAATATCAAGCTTCGTGTTGTTGTCCGGCCGCGCACGAGAACCAGAACCCTTCTTACTCCCCCCCTTTGTTTTCTTCGGCCGTGTAGAATGTCCCNCCCCCCCCCCCCCAACACTCGTACTATACTGCACACTGTGAACTGTCGCACGAACCAATCCTTCAACATTAGAACTTAGTGGACGGAGCTATTTCTTAGTCCTCGCTGCCCTCGTTCGATGTTGCAAGATAAACATAAAAAAAAATCACACGACAGGAAGCGCACTACTACAAGAAAACAAACAACCATTACTGCTACAGCTGTACCCTCCGCCCTCACTACGTGACGAAAAATCTCCCGTGTCTCCCTGGCGCATCCATCAACTTGAGAATATCAAGCTTCGTGTTGTTGTCCGGCCGCGCACGAGAACCAGAACCCTTCTTACTCCCCCCCTTTGTTTTCTTCGGCCGTGTAGAATGTCCCGCCCCAGCACCCTCGGCTGGTGGTGTCGCTTTGCGCTCGCTTGGCGACGCACTTGCTGCAGATGCGGTGCTTTTCGTCGTCCTCAAACATGCTGCCGCAAGTACCGTGGAGCCGCCCGCCACACCCTCCCTTAAAACGTGGCCATGAGGGGCTTGCGGCGTTCTGTCTTGTTGATGGCACAGTTCACCATCCGCACAAGGCATGGTGTGTCTGTCCGTAGAGCTCTTCGGGTCTGCAGCAGCACCTGTACTGTCTTGTCCGTGTGTGTTTTTATTAATAGCATCGACCGCGCTAACCGACTGACAATGAAAAGACGTCAGTCTTGGTGCGATTGAAAACATTAAACACTTCTGAATGCCACTAACAACTGGGACCCCGTGAGGGGGCGGCTTAGGGGAGGCTAAGCTATTCTCCGGATCAATGACATAAACTGTAGCAACAGAAAAAAACTGCACGTGTCGATGAAGCCTCCTACCTTCCACTCTACTTCGTTATGGAGTGCTTTCACCGCCATCCTCCTTCCTCCCAACTCCATCGTTCTCACTTTTCGTTTTGCGTGTGTGTGTCCAACCCACACTATTGCGGGGCACCGCTGTGCCCAACCTGCACTATAGCGGTACCGCCCTCAATAGTGCAGGACCTACACTATTGAGGGCGCTCTCTGTGTCCAGAGATTTTTCCTGCACTATACCGGGCACCTGCGCTATTCAACCTGAACTGTAGAAGGCCCAGTACTGTAGGTCGTACAACGCAAAGGTAAAAGGGAAACCGAACGACACCGCAAGGCGTTTATTCTGCACAAATAAGTAAGCACGACATAGGTCAGGTAGTGACATGGCGTGCCTGGCTTTTACATGGCTACATACATGTTCCAAAGCCGGAGACATGGTTCGACAACACCGAAAGTCACAGAAAAATGAACATGAGGCTAGACACACAAGCGTGTGTAGCGTTGATGGTCGACGTCCGTGCTGTTGAAGAGGATTCCTGCCTTGGTAGCAGGAGCATCGTTGGATGAAGAAGGCCTGAGGTGGTGAAGAGTTGGGAAGGTTTGGTGAATAATGGCGGGATGTTAGTGTCATGGTTGTGGTGGGTGTCTATAACAGTGAAGGTATCGTAATGTCTTGAGGCACTGTTGTATTTCAAGAACAACTCGGGTTGGTTAGCGAGGTGAGGAAGTGGCAGTGTTGTGTCAAAATGGACGTTGATGGGGCTTCCGTGGGTTGTGGCGATAATTTCCGGTTGGCCCATGTATGTTTGTGGCAAGGACATTTTCGAGAGGTAGTCGTCGTAAAAAGAGCACGTGGAGGGTGACGAAGTTAATGGATACAGGAGTTCGACGCCGATGCCATTGTATATGTTGAGGTCGGGGTTTCCGCGGTTGTTGGAAAGGGTATCGCACGACTTGTTCACGGACTTGGAGGTGTATGTTAGGATCTCCGAGGAACTATCTGGCAATGGCTTGGAAGCCGCATGCTCCGTCTCCTTGTTCGGGTTGAATGTGCCAAGTTGGTTGTGGAGGAAGTGGAGGGATGGGGGGCGTGGGCAAGTCAAGAATAGAAGGTGCAGGTGGGACGGGTAGGCCAGGCGAGGCAGGCAAGTCAGGGCGTGAATTTCCTGTGGCCGCTTCGATGAAAGGCCTGTAGATGATGTTATCCGTGTAGGGGGTGTCATCGAGGACGTGTTCGTGTGGCAAAAGACACATAATAGATTGGCGGTTTTGCGCTCGACTTAGGGCTACGTAGAGCTGACCGTGAGCAAAAACAGATGAGCGTAAACCTAGTCCTATTCTAGTTAAGGTTTGGCCTTGGCTCTTGTTGATGGTCATTGAGTAGGCGGTCCTGAGTGGGAACTGTACTCGCGTGAAGTTGATTCCGTTGGTGCCGACTTTGTCCTGGAAGCTAATCTTGGAATCACAACGATGGGTTGCGGTGTTTCTTCAGTCAGAAGTTGGACTTGGATGACGCGGCAATTGGGTGACACGTCAAGGAGGACACATTTCTGTCCGTTGAGCCCTTGACAGAAGTTAAGGTTTCGAGTAATCATGGCTAGACCGTCGGATTTGAGTTGAAGGTTGTGGGTAGGTACCCCTTGGACATCAAGTTCGTTGAGGTGTTCAAGCGCAGCAAATGCGGTATGAGGCGAAGTTTTTTCTGAGATGAGTGAATCTGAACTAAGAAATGAGCAGGTCGATCCCGGGCGCTCATCAGAAATGGTGTCGGTTGAACGATCAGTGATTGTCGTGGCTAGAATAGCGCGCTTGTTCCATAACCGCGAGTCTTATATATGGTAAACGAAGTTGACAAGGTCGTTGAATTCTGTTGTGTATTGAAGTTGAAAGTGGTCTTGGGGGTCATCGAAGTTGTGGTTGTTGAGCGCAATGAGATTGGTGTCATGGATTGGAGTAGTGGGGTGTGTACCTTCTCCGATAGCACGTACGAAAGCTGAGTATTGTGGGTCCTCTCTGTCTCGTTGTGATCTATTGAGTTTCATCCTTTCGACGTTGCCTCACAAAACGCTAGAGATGAAAGCAGCGTCGACAGTGTCAGCAGCTGATCCATTCTTGACGATGGGTCCTGTTTGACGCCAATCTCCACTAAACACAATGGTTTTTCCACCGAAGAGTTTATCGATTTTTGTGAGGTCTTTCATTGCCCTGTCAAGAGCTTCAACGCAGTATCTGTGTGTCATAGGTAATTCATCCCATATGATAAGGTCTGATGTACGAATATGTTCAGCCCGTTGTGTCTGAGTCTTCATGTTGCATACACAGGTGGGCGTTAACGCTTCATCCATGGGCAACTTGAACATGGAATGGGCAGTCCAACCACCTGGAAGTTGTAAAGCAGCAATGCCCGTAGATGCAACGATTAACACAGTCTTGTTTTCTCCCCTTAACCTGGCAGCAATGCACTTTTTGGTGTAGGTGTTGCCTGGTCCAGCAGGAGCGTCAATCATAAATGGGCGAGAATTTCCAGTTCTGACAGCTTCAATGACTGTATTGTAAACACGGCGTTATGCAGTAGCAAGTTTTGGTTGGTGTAAGTCGGCGTATTCCGTACTTTGAGTTGAACGAATTTCTCATTCTTTGAAGTTCAGTTAGTGAATGAATGACGCTGGGGAGGTTTACCTGCGTGTTTGTCTTTCCATGCCGTTGCAAATTCAAGTCAATCTCTTTCAAAGCGTGTTCGACGGCGTCTTCAGACATTCTTGATACGAAATCTTGGATGAGGCTGTCTTTAAATTCTCGCCACAAGTTTGGCGCTGGTGCCCCATCTAGAATTAGCGTAACGAAGAGAGACCGTAGTGAATATCCCACTTGAAATGTTGAAGCTTCTTCCACGCACATGGTGTATTCTTCTTCGCCTGTGATCATGCCTCGCGCTCGGGCGGCGTCGTGGAAAGTGTTGTGTTCAACAGAGACTCCATCATTGGGTTCAACGGTACGAAGTTGTTGAAAGGAACGTGCTGGCACTCGGTGGAGAAGAAGCCTTAAATATAATGGGTCTCAGACGGATGGATTTTCTATTTGTTGTTCTATTGCTTGCATGCAAGGCGAGTTGACGTGTTCAGCTCCGCACGGCTTGTTCATCACGTATTTGAAAACTATTTCATGTAGTTTTCCCTGTGCAATGTTTTCACCAGGTAATTGAGCCCAAACCCATTTGTCCATCTCTTTGAGAGCATCAGGTCCAGCATTCTTAAATGTCATAAGAACGTGCGCATGAGAGTAACCTCTTTTTTGGAATTCGATGACACTGAGATGGCTGTCGTAGGGCCCGAAAATTTTCCCACTCTTCAGTACTGACATAAATCTCTTTGAACTTCAGTTTGAAAATACGACAACACAGGTCAGGACGATCGTAACCACCAACAGCCCCACTCCCACGAGCGTTACTGCTACTACCACCACCACCACCAGAGGCACTGCCCCCTCCTTGAGAAATAGCACACACTCGCGGTTTTTCCACCAATCCTAACAAGCGTCTGCCAACTTCCGTTAAAGGAACCGCATGCAATATCAGCCCTGGCTCAAACTGACCACTGACTACTTCCCCACTCGGTTCCACAAACCAGTTGTCATCAGGCACACACGCACCATCAGGCAAAGGGTTGGACATACCCTTTCCCCTTTGGATCAGCGCCCACATCTTGTCTGCCAGTTCATCCGTAGTGAGGCTTGCCGGTGTACAGCCACTTTCCCCCACCACAAAATCATCGCGATGGTCCAAACCAGCGAGCGACTATCGCTCGGTATGCACCTGACCCAATCGCGAAGGTGGCACCCCGCTCGCACCTATCATATTAACATCGAGATCAGACGGATCAGTTAGCCTGACATCTGGTGCCTCATCCTCTTTCGTCGCAGGCAATGGCAACCGTGACATCAAATCGGCATTTGCATTCTCTCGCCCTGGTCGATACTTCAGTTCATACGTCTACGCTGACAGGAAGTCANGCTTGCCGGTGTACAGCCACTTTCCCCCACCACAAAATCATCGCGATGGTCCAAACCAGCGAGCGACTATCGCTCGGTATGCACCTGACCCAATCGCGAAGGTGGCACCCCGCTCGCACCTATCATATTAACATCGAGATCAGACGGATCAGTTAGCCTGACATCTGGTGCCTCATCCTCTTTCGTCGCAGGCAATGGCAACCGTGACATCAAATCGGCATTTGCATTCTCTCGCCCTGGTCGATACTTCAGTTCATACGTCTACGCTGACAGGAAGTCAATACCACCTCTGTACGCGATTGTTTTTCTCTGCCAAACTCCCCAAATTCCGCAAGGGTTGCTAAAAAATAATGTTCTATTCTACTTTATCGCTCACACTATCGCACCCGCTCCAAGCTCAGTCGGACTCAATCTCGTTTCATTCAGGAATGTTGATCTGCTCAAAAAGCATAGCGGTCTAATACTTCCATCTCGTTGCTCTTGCTCGATTACGGCTCCCAAGCCCGAAATCGACGCATCAGCGGTTAACCGAAGCGGCCGCTCTCCCGAGATCGCACCCTCGCAACACGGAAATGCCAAAACTTCAGGACCAGACGGAATATCCATCATCTTCCTCACTACTGCCACATGATCAGCCGTGAACGTAAACTTCGCCCCCTTTTTCAGCATCGCATTGATCGGTTTCAAAATGCCGACATGTTCTTCAGGAACTTTCGATAGTACGACAAGGACCCCAACAACGATCGCAACTGGCTAACATTAGTGGGCATTGGCACTTCACCCAGCGGTCTGACCTTTCCCGGGTCCGGCCCGATCCCTTCCGCCGTGACTTGATGTCCCAAGAACGTCACCACCTTCACCCCCAGGTTCGTCTTTTTGGGCGCCAGTTTCAGGTTGAACTTGGCCATGCGCTCGAAAAACCTCTCCTGGTCGCGCACGTGACTTGCCCCGTCCCTGGAAAAAAAAATCACGTCATCGATAAACAGACGTACGCGTTCCAGTCCGTCACATGCTCTGGCCATCACCGAATGGAACCACCCAGGACTACTACTGAGACCTTGCGGCACGGATAACAATTTGTACAACCCCGCAGACGTGATAACAGCAGTGATCGGAATGCTGTCCTCCTCAATACTGCACTGGAAAAACCCACTGACCAAATCCAGCGTACTGAAGATTTTCGATTTGTCCAATTCCGCCAAAATATCCTCCACTATGGGAATGGGCAATTTCGGGATTACACTCATTTTATTGATGCGCTTGTAGTTGACCGGCAACCGTACGCCACCGTTAGCCTTCGCGACTACCACCAGCGGACTCGCCCAATTGTTGTACGATTTCCGCAACACACCCGCCAACAGCAATTTGTCAATATCGATCTGCGCCTATTCGTTCAAAACCGGCGAATAGCGATATGGTCTCTGTCGCACTGGTTGTGCCCCCGGCTTCAAAATGATTCGAAACGGATTCACCGTCACTCGTCCTTTTTCCGAACCACGCTTCGAAAAACGATGCTCAAACTTGCACAATAAACCACCTAGTTTGTCAATGTCCTCCGGCTCCCACATTTTCGCATTGAAGTCGAAATGGACGTCTTGAATGTGCGGAGGCACCCTCTGCCACAACCGCCTGAACGCCACCTGTTGCGCCCCATTCAAAGAAGACAGAACATCAGCGGGAGGTTCGTCGTGAGCCATGTCAGCCTCTTCACCCTCCTGAACCGCAAATACATTTTTGAATTTCTCATTGTCCACCAAACGAGCATCATCCAGATTTACCACCTCCAGGGGTTCACCACCATACCCCAAAATATCGCTTGGTTTCACCAGACACGAGCATTCCCCCACTCTTCTTACAGGAATTTCAGCCGTGCCATTTTCGACTAACGCTTCCTGCGGGAACCACTTCTTCCCAAACTGCACACGGTACGTCCCCACCGCAGTGTCACTGCCATCTAGGTTGGTCAGTTTTACCTCCACCCATGACATTGCATTCGGAAGCCATCGTCTACTACCATTAGATTTCACCACCACCTTTCCACCACCTTCAGTTTCCACCATACCAACCGCGTTACCTACCCATTCATCAAAGTGGTGATCTCCTGCCACTTTATCAGTATTTGCACCGACAAAAGTGACAATTGTTTCTGTGTCCGACACGTCTTGGAATCTGCGAACTGGAAAATCAGCCCAGCTATCTCTCCCTTGTATCAGATCATGTCCCATGGCCGAGTCTGGCACAGTGTACGCATACACACTCGTCCGTACCGTCGGTGCACCGAAATGAACCGGCGCTGATTTCCCGCCCTTCCACATTTTAATATTTAATCGCCTTCTTCGATCTGTAACCAATGGTACCCCATGGAACTCACCCCATTTCTTGTTCAGCCCCGTTTCAATGTTATTAGCTGAAGCTGTACCCCATTCCAACATCTTTTGCACACACCTTTCTTGTACAAACGATGCCGGACTTCCCGTATCCAACAGAGCCTCCCACGACATCATCTTGGTCGCTCTTGACCCCGCGAACACTTGCACTCGAGTCGTATGCTGATGTCGATCCATCGTCAAATCCCCACCGACCGACCGAGTAAAATGTGGCAGGTAGTCCGCCGCTTCACCTGCAGCAAACGTAAAAGGAGGCGGAGGGTGCACCGCATCACTCCTTTGTCCTGACACAGAAGTAACAGATACTTGTGGGGCAAAAATGCGATCTGTTCCTTCCTGTGCTTCACCAAAATTTCCTCCCTCCCGCACTGTTGCCTCAACCTCACCTTTGAGAGAATTTTCAGAGGCGAATGCATCACCTATCACGCCCTCTTCTCCTATCACTGGTAAAGCAACAGTTTCATGGTTCTGCTTGCCCCCAGCACGATCAACGGCAACGCTTTTTTTCTTTCTAGTGTCCCTATTAATCGACCTCTTTTTGGCACCATTTCGACCAACAGTGTGCTCCGCTTGAGGATCCAGCGGACACCTCACTGCTCTCGGAGAATTTGCCTTGCGTATTTCCTTCCTTTGAGTGTTTAATGCATTCCCCACTGGACTTCATTGTCATTAACACTTCCCAATGCTAAACTTCGTTTGATCTGACGAAGGGGGCGTGTTCGGCACCCCTACTGCTGGAAATCCCTGTGTGGCTTACTAGTGATTGTTTCCTGGAGCTGTGCACGTGCATCTTGCGACACACGACCAAGAATTTCTTGCGGGGTACTAGTCCTCAATACAGTCTTGCTCCCACGGCCTACATCCGTGCAGTTCAATTTGTCATCACCCGAAACCACTTGCAGTTTGGGATAATCACTTCCACCCTGCTTGGAATACTCCTTAGATACTGAAAAACGTCGCTTGCCGTGGTTGGACGAGACGCTCCCCGTCGCTAGGCCATCACCCTCGGTGTTGTGCACCACCGATTGCCCCGCCTCCTCCTCTACAATCCCACCCTCCGAGTCGTCTTCGGTGTTCTAGCGTGATGATTGTTTTCTCTTTACCCCAGCCCCCCCGAGAGTCTGTTTTGATCTCGGTCCTTGGCTCTGCTTCCTTCCCTTCTGCCCGCGATATTTCTTTTCGTCATCACAATACCCGGGACCTCCTTCACCCTGCACCATCACCCCTCGAGATTTATTTGTAATCTCGCAATATTTTGCACCCCTTTCACCCTTCACCTCCACCCCGCGAGTTTTCTTTCCGTTCTCGAAATACCGTTCACCCCTTTCACCCTTCACCTCTTCCTCCCTTTTCTCTTCTCTCTCTCCCCCCCGGTGTTTACCATCGGGGTTGGGTTTTCGTCGCTTGGCAACGACGTTGTAAAACAAGCCGCCCCCCCGGTGTTTGCCATCGGGATTGGGTTTTCGTCGCTTGGCAACGACGTTGTAAAACAAGCCAATTCACTTCGTGAACTCGGCAACCAGGTTACCGGGTTTTTTTTGCCTCTGCATTTTTTCGGCGGTAACCATAGTGGTGGTCGAGTAGATCATGTTGTGCGGGGTGGAGAACCCTCACTCCGCGCAAGGGGGATGATCGCACCACGTTGTGTTAAAATGGTCAAGCACCCCGAGGCAGTGACACAGTGCTTACAATCTGTCT